AATGGGAACAAGTGCAACTCTCAATCACATAGATTTCACATCCTGCCCCCCCTTTTATGTCAGTTCTAGGACAACATGCAAAGAAACCAAACCACCAAAATGCTGTGTTTCCTCCAGATAGAAATGTTTATATTTAAAACGGTCTCCACAAAAACAAAGTGCATAGCAATAGAAACTAAGCTGAAAAACTCAGAAGGTCCTGTAACATGGCCMGTTTCACTTGCAAACCTCACTTTTTGTGATGGGATTGGTCTGTTAGCCAGTTCAGTCAGGGACAGCAGAAACACAGTAGTTTTAACTGATTATGAGGAAGGGCTGAAGTACATGACTGCTATGATTACCACAAACATTGCAAAATCCAGTCTTTCRTTTCTTGTGTTGTTTCTAACCTTAAGCAAACAATAAATGTATTGTGTCCCGCATGCATGCCAAACTGGAGTCTTAATAAMAGAATTTATTCTTGGTAAACATGGCAGAATTAGGGCTGTATTGAAAATGGAATCGGGATTAGTGGYAGTGAAATGCAAGGAATTTAATTCTTTTCCAATCTCCCCAAGGAACATGTTCTCAAGTATTAGAAGCAGCGCATTAAGGGACTAAGGAAGAACTTAAGGGCTTCAAGWTTGAATTAAATGAGGGTTGTTCTCATTCCAGTAGGACAAAAAAGCCAAAAGAGGTTTTTAGTTTCTGTGTTTCGTAAATCAAGACCTTGCTGACAAGCAATTTGCATGGTGCTGCTGTCAAAAAGTTCTGTTATTTTCCTGTAATGACTCAGTATGTCAACTTCCCTGGTGCTGAGCTTGCTGCTGAGAGACTCCATGAGCTGTGTTCCCATTTGACTAGAGATGCTTGGTGGAATTGCCCTGACAATCTTGCTGCTGAGAGACTCCATGAGCTGTGTTCCCATTTGACTAGAGATGCTTGGTGGGATTGCCCTGACAGCGGGGCTGCTTCTTTCAGTACTCTCAAAATGGTCTGCAGTAGCAGAGCTTGTTTCACTGACAGGAAATRTCAGCTCAGACTGGAGGTGTTGCTTTCCTGTGTATTCATCTGAACATGCACCATGGCTTGAACTTCTTTCTCTCTGTCCCTTTTGCACTGCTTTCCTTTTCRTTGTAACAAGATCCTCACTTTCTTCTTGGGCAGCCGGCGGACATGAGCAGCACTTCTCAGCTTTCCTTATCTGACATTCCTGTTTGCCCTGGTTTTTTGTTTCTGCCTCCTATTTGGAGGCAGAGAGGAGGCAGGGATCACTTCTGGTGGTGGAAGGGGCCATTGAAATGGAGCCCTTCTTCTCCCCATGTACTCTGTGCCCTGGAGCCCTCCAGAGACTCCTGTAATGCCATGGGAAGCTGGGTGGAGGGCCAAGTTCTTGTATGTGCTTAGTACATGGTGCATGGGACCTAAAATGGCAATTCTAGAACCCACAGATGCTTCAGTTCTGACTTACAGGAACTGTTTGTCCAGACTGTTTCCTGCTCTCGTTCTTTCCCTTTCACTGACCCAAATTTTTATTGCGCTCTGTAGCACTTGAGTGAAGTTTCAAACAAACTGCATTATGTTTTTGGATTGTGCTTCTAGAGGAAGTTCAATAATCACTTAAAAAAGCATAGTTTGCAGTTTCAGCATCRATACTCACCTTGATCAGATTTTTGGCTCTGTATTTCATCCCTAGAATTATCTATATGATGAAGGAAGGAAAAGGATAAATGATAATACTCTGAGAACTCAATTCCTTTGCCAAACACTTAATTTTTCTACTGCAGGTAAGTAGTTAATGCATTGCCTCTTAAGTCTTTGAGACAGTTACAGAACAGGAAACTTTAATTATGGTCAAGAATGACTCTGTTGAACTTCTCGTCCTTATTGCATTGTATCTAGTGAGTTATATACAATACTGCAGTGARCTATCAGTGACTCGTTGGAAAAAAATGAATACTTTTCATCAGCTGCATATTGTTAGAGCACCATCTTCAGCTCTGTCATCTGTCAACACAGTGTTCATGCCAAAAAAAGAGAAAACAAGTGGTGTTTCCAGCAATCCAGAAACCTTAGTAACCAAAGTCTCCCATCTCATCCTGCTTCTTTGACCACAAAACGTTACTTTCTTGGAGAATATGACCTCTGACACAGCAAGGAGAAATGCTTCACTAGTGAGCAAATGTCTCCACTGAGATGCCACTCCTCAGTTTTTCAGTGTGGACAGGATGGGAATGTGTTGGAAGTTCATGAGAAGAAGATTTTGTGCCCAAAAAAAATAGTCTCAGTGTTGGCTTTGTGATGTTGGAGAAGGGAGGTTTTGAGTGTGGAGAGGGTGTCCTGGCAGAGGAAGGCTTGGTCTGCTGTGTGTATGTGGAACACCTCCTTCTGCTCCRTGCAGAAAATGTTTGTGTCCCCTTCTCTCTGCCTGCCATGGGTGCTGCTGATCTCTTGTGCCTTATCCTCCCTGTTATGAGCACTGCCCCATGCTGCTTCTCTCCTTTGGCTGGTTCAGATACAGCTCTGCTCTCTCAGCTTTGCTGTTCCCCCAGTTCCTTGCTGGAGGCAGCAGCTGAGGCYGTGAAACTCCTCTGTGAGCAGAGAGAGGAGCTGTGCCCAGCCTCGCTTATCAGCTACACCGAGAGTTAACTTGTAAAGATACTCGTGTTCTGTGAGCTAATAGACAATGGAGAGGAAGCTCTGTTTTATGGCTCCGGTGTCGGTCAAAGTCTCTGGTAGCTCTGAGTGAGGCAGCGTTCTGGGGTTTGTGGTGACACAGGGACCTTCTCTGGCTGCCACTCCCTCAGCTGAGTGTCCGTGCTGACACTTCCCTGCTTCCCAGGAAGCTGCTCATGGTTATTTTGAGAGAAAAGGAAAAATACTTTGACTTTTATGGTGGCCTGAGATATTTTTATAATAGAAAAGTCAGATAGTGTTTAGCCTTGACTTTAAATATTCTTTTTATATAATGGGCTGCAAATCCTGAGCTGTTCAAGCCTCCTCATAACACCTTACTTTGTGTTTCACATTGTTCCCTGCCTTTCCCGTGGAACTTGCAGATGTGTTGGCCCTTTTTGGACTGACCTAAACAGATTGTGCAGCTCTGYGTTCCCAAATGCAGCCCTGGTCAGGGGAATTCGGGGTCTCCCTCATGCCTGACCAGGATGGCGAAGGGGCCTGGCTCCCTGCTGCTGCTGGTGATTCTCAGAATTGTTGGTCATTGGTCATCAGGGTTTGAACCTGGAAAGGTGCAGGATGTCCTGAACTCCTCTGGAGTCARTGGGAGTTCATGGCACTCAGCTGCGTGAAAAATTAGACTTTCTGAAAGGGAGGGCATGTAAAACATTAAGGCTTTTACCTCACAGAGCCKCAAAGCTCTTCAGAAAAGGGCCTGAAACGTACTATAAACCAAGTATTCAGAGGGGAAAACAAAAATTTCCTGACTTATTCTTGGCACCAAATATTTAATCATGACATTTGGTCTAAGGAAATGTACAAACTCGCAACATTGCCAATTTATTTTACCCACAAACCAACAGACTGATGATGTGCATACAAAGGTTATTTATTTTGAGTGCAGACAGGGAATGTGAGTATTCCAAATGCTTCCTTATATCTCCCTATGGGATCTCTTTAATAAGTTGCATAATGTTTTTTTCTATTAGAGGATGGCAAGATAGACATGGTAGGTCTCTTCTTTACTTAAATACACTGGTTATGTTTTTTCTTCTTTGAAGGAAATGCAAGCAGAGAATGGTTTGTGAAAAGTTAAAACTGAAAAGCATGACTTCAAAGGCCTTCCTAACAATTTATTCTAAAACTATCAGCCAACAGATGATGTTCCAARTAAAATAACTAATTATGTGGGAAGTTAGGCAGGCACTGATTTAGTTTTTGGTTTCTTGGACCGGTASATAATTCTTTAATAGCAAGAAAAAGAATACATGACTTCAATTTCTGAACTTGAGTCCAGGTAAACCCTCTTCTGAGGACAAGTTTATACAYAACCTGTAACAATTTTCTTGGAAAATGTGAAAGCCTTTTGGATATTTTCTGTGGACCTTGGCTGACTCTGAGATGCTCCCCATTAAAGATGGAGAACRAGGTTAAAGAAGGATAAGGGAGTGCCGTAGTGAAAGTATTTTAGTTCTTTGAAACTTGTGTTAATATTGCTCTTGCAATAGTATATGAGGRTAATTATCTGGAATATCAGCACAGTCTGACAGTGATCATGTTATAAGGAAAAGCCACTGGGGCTTAGCAGGCCAAACATCATTACTTTATATCATCAGCACATGACAAGGTAAGACTCCAAACACATCACTTCAGCACGGAACATGTGGAGACGTGGAGATAAAATTCCTTTCTGTGGACTAGAGCATCAAACCTTTTCTCATTTTGGCAAGAGGATTAGGAAAAGGAGGGCTCTCTGTGATTACTTGTTCTCTGTTTCTTCAGTTCTGTACCTTATGATGATGTTTCTGCTGAGCCTGGTTTGTGCTTGTGGCAAGGGTTTGTGCCAATTCTGAGTTGCTCTGGGTAAGCTGCACTCTTGGCCCTAACTTGTGCAACACCATAAAAAATTCATTAAACAGCGCTGACTTTTGGCTGCAGGTGTCCATGAATTCTTAAGATCAAAATGTTGCCAGAGGTGTACTTGCTGTAATATAAATTCTGCTTGGGGAAAGAATCTGGAAATTTGGGGTTTTGTCATCAGCTGTCTAGGACTGAACAAAAAAAAAAAACCCCAAAAATTAAAGAAATCCTCAGGCCCTGAGTGAAACTGGTTGGTTGTAAAGCAGAAGGTTTGAGTTAGCAGGGTTTATTAACAGTCTTTGTGAGTAAAAGTGATGRCAGCACGAGCATGTTATGTTTGTAACATTTGGGTATCACTACTGTTTGTGCCTGCTCATCTAGTCACTGCATGCTGGGTTTTTATATTCAGATTGTAGCTGCAGTTTGTGGGTTTAATTCTGTCCCACAGAACCTGCTCTAATGCCATCTGTGCTTGTCTTTCCCAGGAATAACATGTGTGGAAATTGTCACTRTTGTTGATCACCTGTACCCCAGCACAAGAGCTGCAGCCTCACCCTCTCCAAAGGCTTCTCAAGAACATGGGGGAAAACGATGATGAAAAATACAATCAAGCTGGCCAGATATTTGAAAACTTTGTACAAGCATCAACATGCAAAGGCACCATYCAGGCCTTCAATATTCTCACTCGCCAACTCGACTTAGACCCTTTGGACAATAGAAACTTTTACACCAAACTGAAATCAAGAGTGACCACGTGGAAGGCCAAAGCTTTGTGGAACAAGCTTGATAAAAGAGCGAGTCACAAAGAGTATAAACGAGGAAAATCTTGTATGAACACTAAGGTAAGTGGAGTTCAGTTTTGGATTTCATRGCTTGGAAACCTTTAAACCTGTTTTTCTGCAGAAGCAATGTTTCTACTATCACAGGCAGTGCATCTGTTTGTGTAACCCTCCCTTTAATATTGGAAATGGTATCAACTGATTTAGACAAATTTGAAGGTATTYTTCTTCTGAAAGTGCTTTGGAAACACACTSTATAAAAGAGTGAGCCTAAAGCAGYCYGCTTTTCCGTCTGTCTCAGCTTTCCTGTCCTTTTTATACATCGTCACCAAACAGGGAGCAGATGCAAACTGTTCCAGAAGTAGGCTGCATTCACTCCAGGCTCTCCAGAACTACTTGCTTTATTAAAGAGGGTTTTGCAAGGTACAAACCACAGCCTATTCAGCAGGCTCCTGMGCTTTGTGCATGCTGTAAGAGACCAGGGCTGGCCAAAGTAAAAATCCTGCTTGTTAAAGCAGARTTGCAACTTGAGCAACGAGCTAAGTGGATTTTTGCAATTGCAGCTCTGTAAACAGAGCCAAGGTTGCTAGTAGGCATAATTAAAAAAAAAAAAATACATGACTTGAAGGCTTTAAATGAGGTTGTGGCCTTGAACGCTGTAGCTGAGCCTGCAGCTGATGGTTCTTAGATGGCTTTGCAATCTTCCCAATCTTTGGAGAAGATAAAGGAGCTACAATGCAGTTGGACTAAATCACTCATAGGAGGGCTTTTGGGGCTTTTGTTGTTCTTTTTTTTTAAACAAAATGAAAATCTGCTGCCTCATCCCAAAACTGTTTGGGTTTTTTGGTTGGTTTTTTTGCATGGTATTTAGGAGCTGAATGCTGTACTTGTTGATTTCTGTGCTTATAAACTCTTCAGCCACACTTAAGTTACTCATTATAATATACACAAGTTTTATACATACAGAATGTTCCACCCCACCTAAATAACAATAATCCTGTGTCTTAACTGCTCTTGAAGAACATTGCCAAATATGGCTTTCAAAGTTTCTACAGTGATAGGATTTTAAGCTGGATGAATAAAACTGGTTGAGCAATCTTCAAGGAGTTTAAACCCATTGCTATTTCAGAGTTGTCTTACTGGGGACATTATTTTTGAATTCTTTGTAGAAGTTWAAAAAAACCCAACCCAAAATMAAAACAGAGTGCTGTAGAAATACATGAACAGAACTGGGGCGAAAATGAACTTTCTGAAACTGTAGGAGTGCACCTGTATGAATATGAAATCTGTACAAAACATAAGCTTCTTTCAATCTTTAACTTCTAAGCTGGGAATGAGTCCTGTTCAAAATTTCGTTCTGGAGCTGGCACTTGCCCAGTTCACCAGCATTAGAGAGAAATGCAAGTTTGYACTTAGCCAAAACTGTAGTTATCACTCTGGTTTTTGCAAATATGTCTCGAAAAAGAGCACAATTTCTTTATGTTGGCATAGTTTCTCTCTGGTTTTTATCTTCTACTAATTAATGCAGAGGAGCATACTTGAACTCTGAAATGATAACTTGCATCTTCAGGGAATGAAACCGGACAATTTTGATATTTGTGCTTCTTTGCTTTTGCCTTTTAGGACAGGGTATTTGAAGCCTTGTGCTGGATTTGCACTGCAGATCTGTTTTTAAGGCTTTTAATAAGCAACTGCTATTTCAAAGCTGTAGAAAATATGGGACTAACGAGGATAAGTGGCAAAGAAGATTTGCTTGAGATGAGTGGAGAAGCAGTAAATCACACATGGACATGCAGTGAAACCACAGTTGTTGAACAGTGCACACACATTCATTTCCCTAAGGATTGTTAGAGAGRGGATAGGGACAAACTGAGGTGATGACAGAACACACAGCAGACAGTTCTTTGAAAACAAAGCAAAGGATTTGACTCTTTGTGATGTGTTTTAAACTGAGATTGGGCCAAATGACATCAGCAAAAGCAAATGTTTGGCATGTGATTTGGTAATGAAATCACTGTATTTTCATTATCCTGGAGACATTTCCACAARCAGACGATTTTTTCAGCTTTATCAGTCATGGAAAGCAATGAGGCCTGACCAAAGCAGAGTAATCAGACAGTCTAGATAAGACTTTTCAGGCATTTGGAATTTTAATTATTTTTGGCTTGGAAGGTAACAGTAGCTTTACATCTGTGTTTTGACAGAACTGTGCTGTTYCTCTGTCCCTCACTTAATGGCGAGAGAAGGGAACTGTCCCACCCTGACCCGATTTCCTCGATATTTTATAGAGATTCCCACAGGGAGTGATGAGCGGTTCCTTTCACACAAACCACTGCCATTGTCACCACAAGTGGCTTAATGAGGTCTGACTGAACCCAAAGSTTATGGCAGGGTGTGTTCCTGGCTTTGTAGGGTTTGGGCTCTTTGGGCTGTGTCCATCCAGGCTGCTCAGGGCATATCCTCTGCTCCACTCTGCTCCTTCTCCTCCTGAGAGAGCCCCATGGATGGTGGGGTCAGTGCCAGATGTGCTCTTGAGGGGTTTGCTGTGAGCTGAACTTCCAGCCCTGCTCTGGTAATGTTTGTGTACTGATAAGTGAGGAAATACAGAACTTTTGCTACCAAGAAGTGATTAAACACTTGGCTGCTAAACCCCAGATTTCAGACAATAAGGCAATTTCCTGTCTCTGCAGCTGAGGTCCTTCCCAAAGTTCCTCTGTCTGCCCTGGGAACAGGGGGTTCTGCGATGGGGTTGCTCTCTTTCTGCTGACAGATGCACTTCTGCTTTATCTGCTCTTTAGGACTCAGAACTGGAGTATTTTATATTCTATGAAAAATACACTAGAAGCTGTCTCCGCTAAGATGCTGTATAATAAGAGAAAATGTAAAATATTTTAGTAGAACATTATTTTCTTAAACAAGTTTACATTTTTTCTCTAAAAGATCATAACAGTGATGACACTCATTATGAAAAATAGAAGTTTAACTGGTATCTGTCAAAAAGTAGAAATTCCCTTTTAATGCCCTCRAAATTGGTTTAATTTGCTTTATTTTCTTTGCTACTGTTTGATTATTTTTGTCAGACAGTTCTTGAAATTCCCAAAATTTGTTTGTGTCTACAAACAGCTAGGTTTCTGCAAACTGTTTGCCATTTCAGGTCTCTGGGCTATTTGTGTCTTAACCTGAGATCAATAAGGTAAAATCGCTAAAAGCTACTAGAAGGTGATGAACTTTCCAACAGGGGGAGTGTGATACCACACAAAATTGGGAATATGCTGCTGTATGAATATGAAATGGTGCTTGTAAAGAGCCACGTCCAGCCTTGAGYCCATGGGTGCTGATGGCTGAGAGCTCTGCAGTGTGCAGGGATGGGGWGGTTTCCTTTCCACCTTCCTGGGCAGGTGGGAGCTCGGCTCAGATTCTCTGTCAGATAAACTGGAGCAGGTCCAGAGCAGGAATGCTCAGAGCTCTGGAGGGAGTGGCACTGCAGGAGAGGCTGAAATACCTTCACAGAATCAGTGCCAGGGAGACAAGGAGAGCTCCACTGCCTTTCCTGGAGCACAAGCAGSACTGYTGGGGCATTTCACCTTCTGTCTCTSGCAGYCTTGCTGAMCRTGGTAGATCAAGTTCTGATTAACTTTTCAGTTTGAGTTTTGCCCTGGACATTTGGTGCTCCTGGAGAACAGTTTGTGTTTTTCCAAGGGCACGCTGTTTCAACTTGACAAACCAACCAAGAGATGCCGCCTGCCCTGTCTTGCATCACTCTCTGGGTTTGTTCATCCTGCTGAGATACCGTCTGAGCAGGAACCGTGTGGTTCTGCCAYGCTGGGAGTTAGCCTTGTGTTGTTTCCTTCTGCTGCCCTCTGAAAGATTTACARGAGCAGCTCTGAAAGGACCTGTGCAACAGCAAGTGCTCCTTCCTCCCGGTCCTGTCCTGCCTGCACCCCGCCTTCCTTGCAGGATTTACAATTCTGATAAAACAACTGCTCTGGGGTAGATTGCTGCTCAGATTAGAAAACAGCGCAGGAGATGGCAGCGAGCTTCCTGCCAAGGACTACACACCCAGAGCAGTAATAACGAGTTATGCAGATCAGCAGGGCAAAGGCATTTCTCTCAGCTTCCTTTCCCCCTGCCCCCTTTGTCTCTTATTTGTGCTTTGGTCGGAAATAGTGGCAGAGGGAGGAGGCCATTCCTGGCTGGTGGGGCTGCTGCTGCTCTGGTCCCAGTTTGGCCAGCAGTGGTTCTTTCTCTGTGTCCTGTCCTGGAGGCACTGGGG